ATAAAAATAAATAAATAAAATATAGGTATTGTGTCCAACTACAACTAAAAAATAAATATTTTTTTAAAAATTAGTCACGTGGGGCTGGAGATGTGGCTCAAGTGGTAGCGTGCTCGCCTGGCATGCCTGCAGCCGGGGTTTGATCCTCAGCACCACATACAAACAAAAATGTTGTGTCTGACAATAACTAAAAAATAAAATATTAAAAAATTCTCTCTCGAGTCTCTGAGCAGCCGTTGAAGGGGAAGGAACTGCTGGTGTGTGTGTGTGTGGGTGGGTGCGCGCGCACGTGTGTGTGTGCGTGCGTGTGTGTGCGCACGGGTGTGTGGACAAGGAGGTGGGGGCAGTCGAGTTAGAGTCCCAACTCCTTGGACTCCATTTGCTATTCTTTTCTTTCTCCCCCACATCTATCTGGTGGTAGTGGGCGTTTAAATTTGCGTTTCTTTTCATTCATTTCCAAATCTTTTTATAATTTCAGGGTTGGGGGGTAGTGGGAAGAGCAGGAAAGGGGAAAGGAGGAGAGTAGGAGCAGAAGAGCAGGAGGAGGACATGGAGATGAAGAAGAGGATTAACATGGAATTAAGGAACCGAGCCCCGGAGGAGGTGACAGAGTTAGTTCTTGATAATTGCCTGTGTGTCAATGGGGAAATTGAAGGCCTGAATGATACTTTTAAAGAACTAGAGTTTCTGAGTATGGCTAATGTGGAATTAAGTTCATTGGACCAACATCCCAGCTTAAACAAACTTCGAAAGTTGGAACTTAGTGACAATATAATTTCTGAAGGCTTGGAAGTCCTGGCAGAAAAATGTCCAAATCTTACCTACCTCAATCTGAGTGGAAACAAAATCAAAGATCTCAGTACGGTAGAAGCTCTGCAAAATCTTTTTTTTTTTTTAATTTTTATATCATTTTATTTATATTATATTCATTTTGTTGTAAATTTTATTCAAATGTAGTGTCCACTTAAAAGTACAGAGATAATAAATTTACTACTCAATGAATTTGCACAAAATGAACTCATGCAACCAAGATCAAGTTCAAGAAACAATGTAGCCAGCATCTCAGAAGCCTCTCAACTAACTTGCAGTGTTAAATACCTTCCCAAGGGTAGCCACCATGATGATTTATAGCACTATACAACAATTTTGACTGTTTTGAAATATATATATATATATGAAAACTATCATATAATAGCACACTTTTTGCTTGGTTTCTTTCAGGTAACATAATGTTTCTAAACCCATCCATGTTGTTGCATATTCACAGTTTATTCATTCCCATTGCTGCATGATTTTCCATTTCACAAGCATGGCACAATTAATTAATCTAACCAGCCATATATGAGCATTTGGTTTATTTTCAGTTTTTCAATTTTGTTTTGGGGGTACTTGGGATTGAACTCAGGGGCACTCGGCCACTGAGCCACATCCCTAGCCCTATTTTGTATTTTACTGATAGGCAGGATCTTACTGAGTTGCTTAGTGCCTCACTTTTGCTGAGGCTGGCTTTGAACTCTAGATCCTCCTGTCTCAGCCTCCCGAGCCACTGGGATGGATCATAGGCATGCGCTACCAAGCCCAGCCAGTTTTTCACTATTTAAAATAATACTATCATAAACATTTTTGTACCTGTCTTTTGGTGAATTCATGTATACATTTCTCTTTTATTTATCCAGAAATGAAATTGCTGAGTCATAGGATATACATAGTACATACTGCCCAATACTTTCTGAGGTGGTTACAACAATTTAAACTTTCATCAAAAGTGTAAAAGTTACTACTCATACTGAAAAAAAATTGATTTTATCTTTTCCATTTTTGACACTTTGGAGAATATTTAATGGTATCACATTGTGTTTTTTAATCAAGTTTTTAAATTTTAACATCTTTTTACAATTTTATTATCATATCCACTACATCTGTACTTATGCAACCTCTCAGCTTTCTAAACTAGTGTCTGTGACTCCTTTTTTTCTTCTTCATATTTATTTTAGGCACCTTTTCCAAGAATCAGATTTTTCTTCTCTTGATCATATTTATATTTTTATTTTCTAGTTCATTAAGTTTTGCTCATATTTCATAAATTCCTTTCTTCTATTTGAGGGGATTTATTTGGCTATTCTTTTCCAGACTTCTTGAGTTAAAGCATAGCTTATTCCAATTCAGCCATTCTCAATTTTTAGTAAATGTGATGGCTTCATGTACCTCCTCCTGAGAACTGCCTAGACCATCCCACAATGTCAGCAAATGGTGCTCTCATTCATTTCTTTTTTTTTATTAGTTGTTCAAAACATTACAAAGCTCTTGACATATCATATTTCATACATTAGATTCAAGTTGGTTATGAACTCCCAATTTTAACCCAAATACAGATTGCAGAATCACATCGGTTACACATCCACATTTTTACATAATGCCCTATTAGTAACTGTTGTATTCTGCTACCTTTCCTATCCTCTACTATCCCCCCTCCCCTCCCCTCCCATCTTCTCTCTCTACCCCATCTACTGTAATTCATTTCTCTCCTTGTTTATTTTCCCATTCCCCTCACAACCTCTTATATGTAATTTTGTATAACAATGAGGGTCTCCCTCCATTAAACAAGTCAAGACTTTTCAAATTTTTAAGATTTTGCAGAAGTGTTTGCCTAGTTCTGCAAAATCTTAAAAATTTGAAAAGTCTTGACTTGTTTAACTGTGAGATCACAAATCTGGAAGATTACAGAGAAAGTATTTTTGAATTGCTGCAACAAATCACATACTTAGATGGATTTGATCAGGAGGACAATGAAGCACCTGACTCCAAAGAGGAGGATGATGAGGATGGAGATGAAGATGATGGAGATGAAGAGGAAGATGAAGCTGGTCCACCTGAAGGATACGAGGAAGAGGAGGAAGATGATGATGAGGAGTAGGATGAAGATGAAGCAGGGTCAGAATTGGGAGAGGGAGAAGAAGAAGTGGGCCTTTCTTACTTGATGAAAGAAGAAATTCAGGATGAAGAAGATGATGATGATTATGTAGAAGAAGGGGAAGAAGAGGAGGAAGAGGAAGAAGAAGGTCTCCGGGGGGAGAAGAGGAAACCAGATGCTGAAGATGATGGAGAGGAAGAAGATGACTAGATCATTCTAAGACCAGATTCCCCAGCATTCCTGGGTGTGCAATAGAGTGATCACATCTTTGTTTTTTCATGTACAATAGCTATCCCTACAGAAGATAATGTGTAACTTTTTATAGAAAAGTGTGGTTTTACTATTTTTGCCTTATCATTCCAGTTAAGATTTACTAGTCTGTTAATGATCATATTGTATGTAGAGAAAAAATTTCATTGACACTTCCCCCTTAAGACATTCTCTAGCAATTATATTTAGAAGCTTAATTTTTCTAATTCAAATTCAAGTTCATTGTATTAGTAATTTTTAGTCCATAATTAAAACATGATTGCTTTTACACAGGTGAAGTTTGGTGCATTTCATTCATAAGATTTTAAAGTTATTTATAAATTAACTGAAATTACAGTCATCTGTAATATGAAATGACAGTAGTCTCTTGAATAAGTTGATTACTATTTTTTTAGAGATGATACAGGGATCTTTATTTTGAAGTCACTGACTTTTTTTTAAATAGCTAAAGATATTTGGGTGGTTTTTTGTCACATGAATTAAGTTGCAAAGTAGAAGCAGAATAATAAAGGTTCTATTCAACAAATTATATAGTTTGTGGATTTGGGGGAGGTTCTAGACAGTAATATAATTCATGGATTTTGTGGTGATTGATAAGATTTTATTTTTGAAGGAAAAATTGCCTACACTAAGTGAGACACGCAGATGAGCCCTCTCTTTAGGCTGCAGATCATGACATGCCAATGGTTGTTTATTTCGTTTTGTTTTAGGTGTGCATTTTCTCATCAATTTCTTTATGATCAACCTCCCTTCTTGTTGACTCCCCTTTCTCTATCCCAAAAGGAAGCTGGAAACTTCTGGATACCCAGAAAACCTTTAGTCTTATACCTCAACCACCTTTTCAGATCTCTCTGGGTTTTAAACAGAGTGGAAGAAACTGAGAATTTTCTGAGATACAAATATTGTTATTGATACAATTTCAGGCAGCAAGCTCTGCTTATTGTAAATCTTTCTTGACTGAAAATATGTAAGACCATATAAGTAGGAGGAAGAAAGTAAAGAAGCAGGGGAGGGGTTTTGAATTAGCATCAATGTCCATTGCCTGTTGATAATTAAGGAGACATTTAAGTCAGTTTTTAAGTTGGCATCCCAAATTATTTGGATACCAACCCTGCGCAGCATTTATAATTTTTCTGAGTAGACCTTTAGTTCCTATAGTTTTAAAGCATTACCAGATGTAGCATTTAATTGGAATATTATAGGCAGTTGGAAAAATATTTGGGATTAAATATTAAAATTAAGACTTATTTTCAAGTGAATGTCCATTAAAATAGAAGAATATTTGGGATAAGTATGAGTGTGTGCTTACTTACATGGTTACTAAATAAAATATAACAAGTACACAGTACATCTCTGTTTTTGTTATGGAGGCTCCATGTTCAAGGTAACTGCTTTGTTCATCTTGACTATCTTAAAATTTTTTCTTTGTTTTGAATATTTGTAAGGTTTTTAAAAGTTAGTGTCAGTAAACTAATTGAAGCTATTCTTCTACTGGGACACATTTAAATTACTGAGTGTAGTACTACTGCTGCTTGTTTTTTTTTTTTTTTTAGTTTAAAATGTATGACTTGGCATTTTAAAGGTTATTTGTGGAGAAACTAAAACAGTTGCACAACTGACTAAAATAAAACACTTGGAATAAATTTAGTAGGGGGATCAGAAAGTACAAAAGATTGACATTTTTTTCTCCTAATTTTTAACAATTGATATGCCCTGCTTTAGTCTCTAAGAATTCTCTTTACATACTATGTCCAGATTATAAAATACTTATTTTTAAAATGAAATCTATATATTGACTTTCTTATCAATCATCTTATTGTGCAATCAAAATTAGAGTTCTTTGGTTTGAAAACAACACATAGTGAACCTTCAGATAACTTTTAAGAACTTATTTTTTGTGGGTGGTATTTTCATGCAAATAACTAAGGGAGGTTTTATATTTTGTAGAAGTTTGGGGTCCTATTTTAATGCTCTTTGTATTGCAGTATGTATATAGTGTGTTAAGTTCTTTAAGAATCTCTCCGTAAACGTTGAGGTTAATACTTTTGTGCAACTGTGTTTTTGAATAAAGCCATGACAGTGTTAAAAAAAAATTCTCTCTCTCTCTCTCTCTCTCTCTCTCTCTCTTAAAAAAATTAGTCACATGTATTTTAGAAAATGTATACAGATTATAGACATCCACTGTGCTCTCCAACAGTATAAAACACCTGGTGTACTCTGCTCACTTTTGTACACAGTAATTTGAAATATTTGATAAACTATGATGTGTCTAGTAGAAATTAACCAAGAAAACATGGAAATTTAGATCATGTACTGCTCAGAAAAAACTGAAAGTGTATTTAGTCTAAGAGTACATATGTAAGATTTTTCAGATAAGCCAAACTAACAAAACATCATCCAGAGAAGTATATTTGGCTTCTTTTTAACTTGTCAATGGACCTTTATTTTTTTTACTTACTTATATGTGGTGCTGAGTATCGAACCCAGTGCCTCACACATGTAAGACAAATGCTCCTCCACTGAGCTATAGCTACAGTTCCAGTATATTTGGCTTTCTAACGGTTAAAATGATGGAGGTCATTATTATAAACATTAGGACAGTGGATACTCCAGGGGACAGCAAGGCAGTATAATAGAGATAATTGGTAACTTTCTATTTCTTCACTCAGGTGATAGTTAAAAGAAATATTTTCCTATACTCCTCAAGCTTCTACTTTTGTTTGTGTATCTCTCTTTTATTTTATAATGATACTAACATATGGTGGGTTTTTAAATTAAGGCATGTCAAAATAACTTATTCTGTGTTGTTTTATAATAAAGAAAGAGATTCAGTGCCTACATGTTACAAGGAAGCATCTTTAGCATTGATTAAAGGAAGAAAAGCACTCCATGTACAATTGATTTGCCTGTCATAAATGTTGTATGAAATATGAGTTGTGTGAATAATTTGTGGAAGGATATCCTATGCAAGAACAAAAGCTGGATTTTGAGGTCCATTTCAACTTTAAAATAATGCTTTGAAAGTTACCAGTACCATAACAATTTTAAGCAACCAAAACATCCCAGTATTTTTGTATTTAGGGAGCTCAAGCCATCTTCTGTTCATGGGCTTTATCACCTCAATAAATACATTATAATTTTACATATTTATGTGCAAAGGTATGCCTATACCTTTTAAGAGTTATGGGAAAATATTTAAGACAATCTAGATTAGCTTTAAACCATGATGGTAAAATAACTAGTGTGAAACATGAAGAGAATAAAGAATACATAGAATAATAATGATTCAGATATAAGTGGATATGTTTTATCAATTTTAGAATTAAATAATAACACAGCTCCAAGTGCTATAACAAATATTAACCCTCACAACCTACCATTGTGTAAGGGGCTATTATTATAGTCTATGATTATATTCTATTCTTCACATATAAAGAACCTGGTACACAATCAGGTTAAATAATTACAAAAAAAAAAAACATGCTTCCCAGTGGTGGAGCTGTGATTTGATGCGGGCAATTGGAGTTTAGAATCTGTACTTAAGCACTATCCTTGACTTAACTGACATCCTACTATGTAAAAATGAGACATTCTGTAGTTAAATTGAATTCACATTTTTTACTGAGGAAAAACTACATCTTTATCACATCCAATCTGATAATAAAAGTATCTTCCATATGCCCATTATGTTATCACCATGTTTTAACTAAAGTGCTTATATTAATGATTCTTGAGATATTTTATCTATATTTTATAATGCAACTGAAATAATTCAAGTGTTTATTCCTTGTCTGCAAAGACACTGTAAAAGTATACTGGGTCTGAAGTGTATGGTCAGAAATAACATATAAAAAAATTAATTCAATTATTAAAGAGTCTATATTTTTAATGATACAAAACTCAGAAATAGTAAAATAGATTAAATCTTTATCCTTGTATGTACTCATTTTAGCATGAAAGATATGATCATTTTATAGAAAGGGTTCCAAAGCAACAAAAGATTCACTCATGTGATTAGTAAATTTTACAAGTATAAACAATTTACTGATAGTTTAATAAATTATTGTTTTCATTACCTGTCTACCTAATTTGGCAAACTGGACACATGATAGGAGCTTATAATGATGGTTGCTATGTGTTTGTTGTGACCAAAAGTTCAATTCTTAACTTTGTAACAAATAGATTAGCTTAGTTAGGTAATGAAGTATTAGTAATTATAACAATTGCCAAAAACATGGCATCTATACATGTAAATAAATATAATGAAAAATATTAGCCAGGTGCAGTGACACATACTTATAACCCCCCTGGCTCAGGAGGCAGAGGGAAGGGGATTACAGGTTCAAAGCCAGCCTCAGCAACTTAGTGAGGCCCTAACCAACTTAGAAAGAACCTGTCTCTAACTACAAATATAAAAAGAGCTGGGGCATGGCTCAGTGGTTGAGTGCTTCTGAGTTCAATCACCAGTACCAGGGAAAAAACAGAAGAGAAGAAAAGAAAAGGAAAAATAATATTTCTCAGCAACCAAAACACAGTTTTTTAAAAGTATAGCTATGAATGCCAGAATTATTACAAAAAGCAGGAAAAATATGAGTACTAAAATAAGTGCAGTAAAAGAGATTATCAGATAAAGATGTTTAGAAATGAATGTGGAAAATTTTTTCTGCTACCAGACAGTGGAGTTTAAAAAGTAAACATGCCATTTTACTTTTTTACCTCAAGCACAGCTCCTTTGATAAAGGAAAGACATCATAATCAAGTGATCAAGAGACAAATAGTGTCATGGTTCCAAGGAGAAAAAACTCCTCAAAATATATCCTACTCTTAAAATCATGTGATTGACTTTATGGATTTATTGCTTAATTAAAATACATGGAACCATGGATAACATGGCATATTAAGGCTTTTCAATGATTTACAATTCAGTGTGATTGCATATAGCATATTATTTTTAGAATCACTTTAGCTATGGTGGAATATGGAGATACCAAAGTCATGAAAACAAATATGAAAAATGAGCCAAATGGGGGAAA